TCAACAAGCAGGAATGGAAATGATACTCGATGGTGTTTCGTTTCGCAGGTAGCGCTTTGAGCCATTTTTAGGCCTCTAAGGAAGACGAAAGGCGTCAAAACGTCGGGCCGTGATTGGAAATAAAGAACTTCTAATAAACCTGTTTGGCACTGAAGCACTTCTACTATCTAATTTACAGTTCATTCTCTTCTTTTCGTTTTTTTATACTTTCATGTTTAGCTAGCTTTGGTATTCTGGAAAGCCGGTAATAGCCTATTTCACGCCGCAGCTTTGCTACAGAAGTTTATCATCTATAAGGTAATTCGATTCAAGATCTGTGGCAAATGTTGAATTTTCAAATGTTTAGGACATGAAAAAGTCGTTTACCGCCGATGAGGCTCAAGAACAAGCTAGCCGCGTTTTGCTCGCCACTTTGTCCATCCCTGATGGCGCCGATGCTCCATCGGATCTTACTCGTCACCTCGACATCGAGGATCAGCATCTCACCAATATAAGGTAGTGTGCGGATAATGTCCAAGAGTTTGAATAGAGCATTTTTGTGTTTTCTAGATTGCTATCCAACCTGTTGCGTTTACCTATTGCTCCCACTCGAGCAGGTCTGCTGAGAGAAGCTGCGCGTCTTGGTGTACCGGATGTTGCGTCAGAATCCACTAATGCCTTGTACAAGCTTCTCGAGAACAATTTCGCTCCCTTGAGGTACAGCCTTTTCTTGTCCGGGATATGTCTCAGATATGTTTCATTAGGCTCGCGCAAGAGGTAGAAGCACAGCTAGTAAAAATCGATCGCCCAGACCATCTCCAATACGTGGATGCGCTGAAAGAAGTTGTGGCAACGAAGGCGCTGAAACAGGTTCGGATATCATTATCTGAATTCGATTTGTTGAGCATCCGCCGTTGCAGATATCTGTTATTTACGATTCAATAAGTTGGAGTAGAGTGCAGAAGATCATTCCTTTCTACAACGAAATGGAGTTAGAGCGTCTTGTTGTGGACGTCAGCAAACATCGATTTGTCA